CGGCGGCGGCGGGGGCGCGGGCCATCCAGGCACGCCGGGCCTGGAACAGGTCCGGACCCCGACGAGCAGCGGCGGCCCCCCGCCGCCCGACGAGATCCACCCGCTGGAGATCCTGCAGGCGCAGATCCAGCTGCAGAGGCAGCAGTTCAGCATCTCCGAGGACCAGCCCCTGGGCCTCAAGGGAGGCAAGAAGGGCGAGTGCGCCGTCGGGGCCTCGGGCGCGCCGAACGGCGACGGCGAGCTAGGCAGCTGCTGCTCCGAGGCGGTCAAGAGCGCCATGAGCACCATCGACCTGGACTCGCTGATGGCGGAGCACAGCGCGGCCTGGTACATGCCCGCCGACAAGGCCCTGGTGGACGGCGCGGACGACGACAAGACGCTGGCGCCCTGGGAGAAGGCCAAACCCCAGAACCCCAACAGCAAAGAAGGTAGATCTGCTCCCGTTCCCGCCTCACTTTCCCGGTGACCCGCCTTGTCCCTGGGGTAGGCCTCAGCCTCCACCCCTGGGGCCCCCTGGGGTTTGGAGGACACCCGGCCCTCCTAATCCCCAACTCAGAGGGGGGTTCCCCACCTTTGATTATTCTAAGGGCTGTGGGGACAGACACCACGCGCTGCCAGGTGGATTCTGATGCCGTGGGCCCGGTGGAGCTGGGGCGGCAGCCCTTGGGGAATCCTTGAGTCCCTCCATCTTCCCCAAGTTTTAGCGGAGTTGCTCAGTGTACAGCACCCACAGAACTAGGCTTCCTTCTGGCACTAAGCCCCCTCCCCGCCCACGGCATCCAGGCCGGCTCCACTTTTGGGGAACTGTGTGCCCACTCTGCTGGCAGGACCGATGGCAAGTTCTGCAGAGCTCCCACCTGTCCCTGCCCAGGCAGGTGCCCCCTCTTTAGAAAGAAAGTTACCAGCCCTGGTGTCTGCAGCATCACTCAGAGGCGGTGCCTAATTTGACATTTGTTCCTAATGAATAGCTGTTTTGTCTCTTCTTAACTGTTAGTTTCCTTGAAAAAAACCCGGAGACCGTGGGGGTTGTAGGAGGCAGGGAACCTTTCCAGGGCGCACCGCCTTGACTTGGTGGTGGTGGTGGTGGAGCTGGGGTAGAGTCTGCGTGGCAGAGACCAGACCACTCCATCAGGGCATGTTTGTGGATATATATTCTTAAGACACAAAGGACCCGCGTTTGTCAGTGTCTCGCTTGGCTCTGGTGACAGATGCCAGGCCCCCGCTTTCGTTTGCTTCTGAGCACCCCCTCCCTGCCATGGCTGGAGGCCTTTAAGGTGGGAGAGGTGGGGTCAGTAGATGGACTGCCGTTCTAGATAGAGGAATAGCACTTCTTTTTAACCTACAGATGACTGGACTGAAGTAGATATCCATTTTATTTTAATGGAGCCGTAATATATATATGTGTATGTATACACACATATATATGTATGTATTACAGTTAATGGCTTCTTAAAATCGGGTAACATCACTTTTTCCCTCCTACCTTTTCCTTTTAAGCCCTAGTTGAATTCCCTTGGTTTCACCGGGCAAAATACTACCCTGGAGCGGGTGGCTGGTGATTTAACCCCGTCTTTAAAAAATGTGTCCCCTGATTCTTGCCCTCTGCTCCCATTCTTTGCTCCTCTGCCTTGCCTCCTTCTCTCTCCCCACATCCTGCCGTCTCCTGACCCCAGCTTTAAGGTGAGGGCAGGCGTTCGGAGAAGGGGCTGGGTGCTGGGGGAGGCGGCAGGAGGGGGCAGGGGTGGG